CAAGCAGTTGAATTAGTATCTCAGGCCTCCCCTTGCAGAATTACCGCCTGACCCTCGGTGCCCGTGGCCCCAGCAGGCATTTCAATGACAAACCCACACCAGTGTGGGCCGAACAGGGCATGGCTGGTGTGGGGCAGGCCCCCAAGCAGCTCTGGAGGAAATGTCTTGAAATCTAAAGCCCTCTGAAGCACCAGACCCCTGGTGGAGGGGCCATGAAGAGGAGGAACACTGATAACAACCATAGCTCTCATTTTCCAGAACTTTCTGAGCCACAGACTTCACAGGCATTCTCTCCTTCACTTCACGGCAACCCAGCGAGGCGAGGACCATCACTGTGTCCATTTTCCAGCGGAGGAAACTGCGTCTCCCAGTGGGTAGGCAGACAGCTGGTGAATGGCAGAGCCAGAGTCTACGCCCAACATTGATCGACTCTACGCCCCATGGTTTACCCATGACTGCGTGCTGCCTTTCCGTCCCCCTCCCCCGCCATAAGCCCCCCACTAAGGGAGTCCACCGTCCACAGCAGAGACGACTCGTGCCTGTGTTTGTACTTTATATAAATGGAATCACGCAGTGTGTGTTTTTTGGTGCCTGGCTCATTCATTCAGCAGTACGTGGGTGAGACTCACCCAGTTTGTCAGCATGGCTGTTGATCATTTGTAAGCTCTTTGCTGCATAGAATTCCATTGTGTGACTGTGGCTCGATTTATTTATCCATTTTACCATTCATGGGTGTTGAATTGTTTCTGGTTCTTGGCTATTACCAAAATATATATATATATATATATATCTGTTGTGAATATATAAACTTTTTAAGGTTGTAGATAAAATACTCTATGGGGACAATCATATCATCTGTGAAGAATGAGAGTTTTGAGGTTTTTCTTTTTCTTTTTTCTTCCCGATTTTAAAAGCCTTCACTGTTTCACTCTAAAAAAATAATGTTTGTGTAGGTTTTTGGTAGACTTCCCTTATCAGATTAAGAAAATCCCTTTCTATTCTGAGCGGGTTCAATTTTAAAAAAAATTATAAATAGGTATTTTGAATTTCATCAAATGTGTTTTGTTCATCCAGTGACATTACCATATTGCTTTGTTCTTTTAATATGCTAATGTAGTGAATGATAATTACAGATTTTCTGAAGTTAAGCCCTATATTCCTGGAATAAACCCAGTTTAGTCATGATGTGTTATCTTTTTTTATAAAGTGCAGGATTCATTTAACTAATATTTGTGTAGGATTACTGCCTTTATGTTCATGCATGAGGCTTTCCTATGATTTTTCTTTATTACATTTTTCCAGTTTTAGTATCAAAGGTATCGTGGACAGAATCAGTTGGGAAGTAGTCTCTTTTCTCTCTCAGATGATTTGCATCAGATTAGGATTTGTCCTGGGAACATTCAGTAGACTTTACCTGTAAAAGCATCTGGCCTGGTGATTCTTTGTAGGAAAATTAAACAGTTGATTCATTTGTTTTAAGGGTTATGAGCTATTTGGACTTCTTATTCCTTTTGAGTTGGTTATTTTTAAAGGAATGTGTTCATTTCTTCTAAGTTAATGCATCCTTACGCATTCTTTGGCTTACAGGTTTTTTTATAGTACCCTCTTATCTTTTTAGTTTCTACCGGATCTCTCATTATAGCCCCTTCTTTTCAATATTATTTGTGTGTCTCTCTTCCTTGTACTCTGTTAGAAGCTTGCCAATTTCATTCCTGTTTTCTAACAAGCAACTTTTAGTTTAGTTCATTATATTCATTACATCTTTCTTCTCTAGTTCATTAGTGTCTGCTCTTGTAGTTATCTTTCTTTAAACTTATTCTGTTGTTCTTTTTCTAATTTCTTAAGTTGAGTGACTAGCTTATTAATTTCCACCTTTTCTTCTCATATGAATAAGCATTTACATCTACATTCTCTCACATTATCTTCTTCACTGCATTGCCATAAGCCTTGGTGTATTATATTTTCATTATTGTCTAGTTCCAAATATATTGAAATTTTTCTTATTATTTGAACCCAGAAAGATGTTAGAAGCATATCCTACACGAATATAATGCGTTCTCTTATAGTTAAGTGACTTTGGGGAAGTTACCTTAAAAAGTGAGATTTTAAAGTTCTAAGCATGTATTTTAGAGTTCTAATTGGACTGTGGTTAAAAAAACAACTTGTTTCATATGATAATGGATATTTGAAAATTTTTACCCTTCTTTTATGGCCTATTTCTTGGTCAATTTTTGTAAATATTCCATTCTACATCACATCTATACATGACCAATAAACCAAATTTGCTCATTGAATTTTTATAATTTTACAAATTTTTTGTCCCATCCATGATACCCCAAACATCTCTCACTCTGATGATGAGTTTGATTTCTCTGTGTGCTCTATCAATTTTACTTTATATATGTATGACTTTGTAAGAATTATTTTATCTTCCAGACGAATCAAACATTTTATCAGATAGAGACCGTACCTATGTAATGCTTTTATGTCTTCAGGCCTTCTTTTTCTGAGAGCAGGGAGTTTATTTCTTGGAGCAAAGAGCTAACAACACTGGGCTGGTATGGACGTGGGGTCGTCCTGCTTAAAGGCTTTGACTTTGACTATATATTGACCACCATGTTAAGGATGGGCACGAAGATCTCTCAGGCAATGACCTTGGCCTCAAGTAGCACACAGTCCAGCTTGGAAGCTAAGATACGGATTGCAAAATGGATACGCCACACATAACAGCAACCAAGAACGGGTTGCCAATATGGGACAGCCAGGGTGGCCCTACATTGCACAGGGAAGACGGAATGTGAACTCAGCTCAGAAAAATCAGACTCGGATATGACGGGCGGCATGGAGATAGGGAGAATGGAATTGCCAGGAACAGAAGGTCCGCATCATAATAAAACCCGCACTTGAATGATGGGTGTGTAATTAGGTTCTGGGCTCTACGCCAAACACCTTAGGTTATGTTATGTAATCACCCTTCACAGCATCCCTTTGAGATAGGAATTATATTTCCATTTTACAGACGAGGCAACTGAGGCTGACCGGTTGCCTCACCTGTAAGACGAGGAAGGTAACTTCCCCAAAGTCACATAACCATATCAAGGGGAGGAGTTAGATCATCCGCGGTCTGCCTGAAACATCGTAGGCTCTCTCCTAGAATGCCAGGGAGGCCCAGGGCATTCAGCCAGAGCAGAGGACTAACTTGGGTGAAGAGAAGGGAGTAAGATTGGAAACAGGCGAGATGCATGAGCCCTTCCATTTTTGAGCAAAATATTGAGAGCCCGAGTAAGCCTCTTTGGGGACAGCGGTTGGAGGGGACCTAGGACCAGGGAAGAAAACGAACTAGGGGAGAAGGCCCAGTTCCCATTATATGAGAATGTGGCTCTCATACTGACTGTGGAACAATATTCCTCGCCAGTTACCTTTCATGTCATTTCAAAAATTCTAACATAGCCCTAGCTGGTTTGGCTCAGTGGATAGAGCATCCGCCTGCAGACTGAAGGGTCCCAGGTTCGATTCCAATCAAGGGCACATGCTTGGGTTGCCAGCTCCATCCCCAGTAGGGGGCCTGCAGGAGGCAGCCGATGGATGATTCTCTCTCATCACTGATGTTTCTATCTCTCTCTCCCTCTCCCTTCCTCTCTGAAATCAGTAAAAATATATTTTTAAAAAATACTAATATGACAGAAATTTTCCATTGGGGCTTACTCTATTTCTCTCTCTTTTAAAGATACATGTTACAAGAGGACTCTAAAAGAACATTTTAGAATTTTTTGATAGGGACTTTGAGATGTGATGGGTTAAGTTCTGCTTGGCCTCTGACTCCTTACTTAAAACGTCACAGTCCCAAATCCTGCATGCTTCGTCATTCATTCAGAGCTTGGTTAATTAGACCCCACGTGGGAGATAGAATGACACCACATACCTCCAGCAAAAGAAACAACGGAGAAAGAGAGGGAAATAGAAGAACTCCAATAGATCCCCCCCCCCCCCCCCCCCCAAAGACCGGATAGAACTGACCAAAAGGGGGGAAAAAATCAGAACAGAAGATTGCAGGGAGCTCTCGGATCACGGGGCTGTGAAAGATCCACCAGGCAGGAGTGCTAAAGGAATTGCCAACGTTTTTCTGTCCAAGGCAGACCAAAGCAGCTCATAATCCGGGAGGAGCTATAGATAGCTGTTTCCAAAAACATTTCACAGAACACCAACTCCATGGAAGGATTAGAGAAGAAAAAAAGAAAAAGGTTCCAGGAATTGTAAAAAACACACTAGCTTAAATGAGTCTCTTTACTGCAGGCCTTTTCAGAGCCTTTAACACGTTCATGTGCATTATAAACTATAAGGGGGTGCAGTACGCAGGGCTCCCAACTCTGCTACGCCCATCTGAATCCTCCCTCGGGGACTTTTTTTTTTTTTTTAAATATATTCTATTGATTTTTTACAGAGAGGAAGGGAGAGGGATAGAGAGTTAGAAACATCCATGAGAGAGAAACATCGATCAGCTGTCTCCTGCACACCTCCCACTGGGGATGTGCCCGCAACCAAGGTACATGCCCTTGACTGGAATTGAACCCGGGACACTTCAGTCCGCAGGCCGATGCTCTATCCACTGAGCCAAACCGGTTAGGGCTTGGGGATTTCTTATGACTGCTATTTCCCACGTCACCCGTGCCCAACCTGACACAGAAGTGTTTCTCCTATGGTATATAGATTTTTCTCCCTCTGTTTCCTCCAAGACGGGCCTGATGCATAGGCTTCTAAGATGACCTCAGAGCTCAAGGAATACATTCCATCCAGACAGACAACTTACAAAGGCCAAGCCACGTCCGTAACATCCCCCCAACTTCTATTCCCAAGCTTCTCGGCTTATCCAAGCGAATCAATCGACTAGTTCACGAGAGGAAATCGCAGCTATTTTATATATTTTTCTTAAAATCCATGCTCACACGTATAGTCGGGTTATAAAAGGAATCCCATCGCATCGCCATATCTCCTTGGGGTTCTCAGTAGCCGCCTCGGAGCGGGGCCTCCCCGTCGTCCACGCGATCGTAGCAGCCGCTGCCAGGCGCTTTCCCGCCGTCCCGCCTGCAGGCCCTGGAGGCCTTTGGGAAGCCCTCGGAGGCGGAGGCGGCGGCGGAGGCGGCCTCCTTCTCCTGCGAGAGCTGCTCCATCCTCTGCTCCTTCTTGCGGATGGCTTCCTTGATGCCCTCGATGTGACACTTCTCCTCCTTCTCGGCCTTCAGCTTCAGGATGTGGTGGTTCTTCTCCCGCAGGAGGTTGAGCTCGCGGACGTGCTGCGCCTTCTCGCTGAGGCTGCGCTGCGCGCTGCTGCGGGCCTGTTGCACCTTCTGCTCCGCCAGCCGCCCCAGCAGCCGCTTGCGCACCCGCCGCTGCTCCTCCAGCTCCTCGGCGCGCAGCCGCACCTGCTGGTACTGCTCCTCCTCCCGGCGGGCCCGGTCCCGCAGCTCCCGGGGCCGCTCCTTCCCCAGGCCCTTGTGCAGCTCCTGCGCCCGCTGCGAGCTCTGCTCCAGCGACAGCCGGCGGAGCAGCTCCTCGGCCTTGACCTGACAGTCCATGAGCACCTTGCGGGCCTGGAAATTGACCAGGGAGCTGAGGTTGGCCTCGCGCACCTTCTTCTGGTCCTCGGTGGCGGGCGGCTGCTTCTGGGGACCGGTGGGCTCCAGGCTGGTCGGCTTCCGCTGCTCTGGCAGCGTCTTCTCTAGCTCCTGCTCCAGCTCCTGCTCCTGCTCCCTCAGGCGCGGCACCGGGCCCGGCCTCCTGGGCTTGGCGGCCTCCAGGCGGGCCCGATCCGGCCGGTCCTGGCGCCGGATGTCCTGATCCTCGGATGGCGCCGGCCACAGGCTGTCCTGCTGGGCCGCGTGCCTGGCTTGGTGGTCGCGCGGCCGCTGGACACGCGGCTCCCGGCTCGGGCGCGCCTTGCGCTGCTCCTTCTCCCGCTGCCACTGGGCGCGGTTCTGCTGCAGCAGCAGCTTGCGCTCCCGCTCCAGGGTCACCTGGACCTTGTGGTCCGAGCGCTTGAGATCCTCCCAGGCCGCCGCCGCCTGCTGCTGCAGCTCCCGCATCCTCTGCGCCTTCTTGAGCCGGGTCAGCACCAGGGCCACGATCTTCTGGTCCCGGGAGGACACCACGGCCTCTTCCAGCTTGTTCTTGAGGAGCTGCGTGTGCTGGCTCTTCGTCTCCTGGCCCGAGAGCGCGGGCTGGAGGAAGGCCTGGCTGGCAAACGACGCCAGCCGGTCCCCGCTGTCCCTCTTGGGGGCGCACGCGCAGGCGGACAGCGTCCTGAACTCCTGGGAGGGCGCCGAGGACTTCTCGGAGGGAAGCGAGGACAGGGACCAGCGGTCCAGCCCCCCGCAGACCGGCACCGCCCACGGGTCCCCACTCTGCCCCTCTTCGGCCCCGAACATCCCACTTAGGGGCGTGTACGCGCCCTCGGGGTACGGAGGGGGCGAGTCTCCCTGGGCCGGGGGGCAGTGCTGGCAGCGCAGGGGCTGCTGCGGTGACAGCTGGAGCTGGAGCGGCCAGGCCGGGCTGTGCTGGCTGCCCCGCGGTCGGGGCGGGATCCGGGGCTCCCCCCAGGCATCTCTCGGGCGCCAGCCGCGGGGCCGGTGCTTCCTGGCGCCGTCGGGGCGCCTCTGGGCCACGTCGCTCAGGCTGCGGCTTTCCCGCGGGGAGTCGGGGGACTGGTGGCGGGGAGGCCAGGGAGCCGGGGCCTCGCTCCCCTCCCCGGGAGTCCCGGCCCAGCAGCCCCGAGCCGGCCGGGCCTTGGCCTGGGGCCGGGACCTGCGCAGCCGTGCCGAGGACGCGCGCTCCCCGAGGTCCCGGTGAGGCCGCGCGGGGAAGGGGCCGAAGTCCTCCATGCTCCTCGCGGGGCGCCCTCCCGGCGTCTGAACCTGGACCCCGGAGCCTCCAGGGGGCGCTGCGGGGCCCGCGCTGCCCTGCGATCTCCTGGGGCGGGGCGCTTGTGACGCTCTGGCCACTTCACAATGGCCCTGGCGCCGCGCGTTCCCGCAGCCTTAGACCAGGCCCCCCCCCCCCGCCCCCCTAGAACCCTACACCTGGTGGTGGGGGTGTCAGAGAGTGGGGAGGAGGCTCAGGGGACAGGGGGCTATAGGAAATCAGGGTGACCCTTAAAGCTGAGGGTTCCTAGTGAACCAAGCACCGTTATTTTAGGCAGAATTTTTTAAAAAATATATATATATTTTATTGATTTCAGAGAGGGAGAGAGAGAGAGAAACATCAATGATGAGAGAGAATCATAGATGGGCTGCCTCCTGCCCGCCCCACACTGGGGATGGAGCCTGCCACCTGGGCATGTGCCCTGATGGAGAATCCAACCCTGACCTCCTGGTTCATAGGGTCACCGCTCAACCCCTGAGCCACACCGGCAGGAATTTGACCTCCCAGCTGCACAGCTTACAATAGCAGGCTTCCGAGAGAATCCGGTGAAGCCATGCCTTCAGGATGGAAGTGGGGGGAAGGGCCTAGGCCGGGGTAGGGGGGGAGGGGGGGCCGAGGAGTCCTGAGTTGTCCTTAAGGGACCTTAAGGTCACCTCCTTACCTCTGTGCCTCTCTATGGTCCATGCAGATGAAGGGCTATAGGAGGCCTTAATGTGGTGCACCACACTTTCGCCGTTTTAAGTCCAAAGTACGTTTTGTTTACACGTTTAAACTTTCGGACAGGACAGAGACTACCCGTCCATTTGCTAGGGGCAGAAATAGAACATTGGGGTCCAGCTGTCATGGTATGAAATAGTCATCACGCTCTGTTCCCTGAGGGTTGTGTCTCTTGTGAAACTGTTTGCACATCCATGGCTGGAGGATAGGGTAAATGATTAATATTCAGAAGTCAGCTTTGCAGTACAATTTCTCAGGAATTCAGTTCTTTCATGCCCCACCTTCACTTTTTCCTTGGCTACCCTGGGAAGCGGATGCCCCAAGGAACTGTATCTGAGAAGACACAGCAGGCCTCTCTCTACAAGTGCCTTTGAGATAGGGATTCTTCAAAAATAGCAGACCCTGCCCTAGCCGGTGTGGCTCAATGGATAGAGAGTCGGCCTGCGGACTAAAAGGTCCCTGGTTCGATTCCAGTCAAGGGCATGTACCCTGGTTGCGGGCACATCCCCAGTGGGAGGTGTGCGGGAGGCAGCTGATCGATGTTTCTCTCCCATCGATGTTTCTGGCTCTCTATCCCTCTCCCTTCCTCTCTGTAAAAAATCAATAAAATATATTTAAAAAAATAGCAGACCCACAAAAGAGTAAAAAAAATATACATATATTCCGTACACACCCAGGGCAGTCAGTGAAAAGCTTATGTGAATCCAGCACTAAGGATGAAAATTGTGGATTATACGCTTCTTTTTTAGAAAAGCACAAAATAGTGGGATAAGAGCCTGGGAAACAGGAAAGTTACGTTTCCATGGAAACAATCATTTACCCACAATGCCCAGTATTCCATGTGTATGAGAACTCGTGTGTGTGTGTAAAAATGACGGCCGACACATATTGAACACTGCTCTACGTGCTGGATATGGAAACTCCAACACAACCATGAGAAGGAGGGACTGTCCTTTCCTGAGTGTCAGAGGGAGAATCTCAAGATCAGGTGGGCAGTGGAGCCGGGATCAAATCCTGCCTCCCCCCTAACCTATCCATTGTGTGGACTTTTGAGCTATAGTGGCATAATTAGAGCCAGACCAAATCATGTGTGGCTGGGGGAGCAGGAGAGGATTTTAAATATTTCTAGTTTGTTCCATCTTAAGATGCTGGTGTTTCTCACGTATGTCACCTTAATGCCATTGACAGCTGGAGATGGTAATTAACTCATTCTTTTACAAATATATTTTTACTAGAGGCCCAGTGCATGAAATTTGTGCACCGGTAGGATTCCTAACAGCTGCCTGCTGCTGGTCAGGGCCTCCGTCCCTTCCCCCAGTTGGCCCCGACCCCTGGTTGAACTCCCCAAGGAACTCCTGATCGAGGGGACAATTTGCATACTACGCATTTATTATATAGAATTGATTTTTAGAGAGAGAGGAAGGGAGAGAGGGAGAGAGAGAGAAACATTGTTGTGAGAGTGAAACATCGACAGCTACTTTCTGTGAGCCTCTACCAGGGATCAGGCCTGCAACCCAGGCATGTGCCCTAACCGGGAATCGAACCGGCAACCTTTTGGTGCATTGAAAGATGCCCAACCAACCCAGTCACATGAGCCAGGGCATAAGCAATTCTTATGAAGAAAAGAAGGACTCAAAATAAGTACTTTCGAAGCTTTTACTTCCACCGTGAGATAACAGAATGCAATTACAGGATCATTCAACGGTGACACAGAGGCAGCGGGCTGCACGATGCCATGATTGATTTTTGAAATTTAATCACAAATAGTTTGCAATGTTAAACTTGGGACTAGGTTTTCCCGACGGGGACTTGGGAAAACGGGTGCACTGAATAATTTCTCTCATTTGGGGTTACTTCTTCACCCTCCATGTGGCGTAGATAGTATATTAGATATATATATATATATATATTTTTTAAATGAGCTTTGCTGAGACTTAAAAAAAAAAAAGGTGGGTTGTTTAAAGTTCCATGTTTTTGTTTTATTTTTTCTGTTTTGCTAAAACGGAGTCTGGAGTCTTTCACTCCGAAGGAAATGCGTTTTCCAGAAAGGTCTGGACGAGGGGAGAGAGCTCCGGGACAGAGCGTGACGGATGGCCCCGTCCTGCCGTGACCGCTGCCGCTGCCTGTGCTGCGAGGTGCTGAGCGGGTGCGCTCTGGGCTGATGGGATCAGCAGGGGGAGCACCTCTGCCCATGAAATCCCAGCCTCCCCAGGACGCAGGTTCATCACCCTCCAGAGAGGTTCTCAGCGTGCATCTCACCGGCTTCTTTCCGCTCAGAGTCACCCAAACACGGGGCTGCAGTAGGGTCTCAGCAGCCGGGGATGGCTGTGTCTGTGCACCCCACAGAACGGTACCCTTTCTTCGAGCCTCAGGTTAAGGGGAAGGCTTCTCTGAGCTCCCTGACCAGATGAAGTCCCCATGGTCCATGCACAGCCCCCTCAGAGCACAGCCTCTTTCCTCGGTGGTGTGTCCACTGCAGGGTACAGTGTGTGTGTGTGTGTGTGTGTGTGTGTGTGTGTGTGTAACTAGGTGAATATTTGAAACATTATATGGGCGCATGTGTACCAGGTGGTGAAGTAAAATATATTTCTTACCGCAGGTTGCGTAAGAAAGTTATTTCTCTAGAAGTCTTCCTTTAGAGTTGAGAAGGCCAAGGGGACACCCCAGAAGCCAGATCTATAGACTTCACCCTTGTCTTGATTTCTTGTCCTATTTGGCACTGGGGTCCACCTCCTGTCTGAGTTTCTTTTCCCTTCCCTCCCCTCCCCTCCCCTCCCTGGAGAAAGAAACTCATGCCAAGCTGACAGTGGATTTTCATTTATTTTTATCTTTTTGGTTAATCCTCACCCGAGGATATTTTTCCATTGATTTTTAGAGAGAATGGAAGGGAGAGGGAAAGACAGAGAGAAACATCGATGCGAGAGAGACACACTGATTGGTTGCCTCCTGCACACACCCTGACCAGGGCCGGGGAACCTGCAACCAAGGTACATGCCCTTGACCGGAATCGAACCCGGGACCCTTGAGTTTGAGGGCCCACACTTTATCCACTCCACTGAGCCAAAGCGTCTAGGGCTGACAGTGATTTTAAAAGTAAGAAACCAAGAAAAAAGGCAAGGTGTTAGAAGATGAGACAAAGAAAGGTCAAAATATATTCAGAATAACTTGTTTTGTGGGCCTTGCAGTGGAAGGTATCATAGTAATCGCTGGGGGGTGGCGGGAAGGGTTAGGGTGGCGTCCAACTGCTTTAGATTAAGGGTGAGGCCTTCATTGGCAGGGGAGGGGAGGAGGGGGTGTTGAGTACATGGATCGACTCCTTTATTCTCATCATCTCGTCTGTAAGATGAGTGCAACACTGGCTTTGTGTTTGTTGTGCGATGTCATGGGGTGAATTATGCCCCCCCCCAAATTCATGTTGCAAAAAAAAAAAAAAAAAAAAAATTCATGTTGCAAAAAAAAATAAATTCATGTTGCTGCTCTGACCCCCTACTACAGAAGGAGACTGCTTTAGAAATAGGATCTTTAAAGAGGCAATGCAGTTTAAAGGGGGCCGTTAGGGTGGTCCCGAAGATGACTGGTGCCCTTATGAGAAGAGGAGATTAGGGACAGGGAGAGACGCCAGACACGTGCACACACAGAGGGATGCCCATGTGGAGACACAGCAAGAAGGCGGCCGCCTGCAAGCCGAGGAGAGAGGCCTCAGGAGGAATCAAACCTGACAGCAGATCTCAGTTCAATCTAAGGAAGACCTTTCTGAGAGAGCCGTGGGCAGAGGTAACAGGCTTCCCCGGGAAGTACTCAATGGGGCTGGGTGGCCACTTCTTTGAAATGTCACAGAGGCGACTCAAGCATAGATCGGGTGTTTGGACCAGATACACTCGACGTTCCTTTCATTCCTGACATTCTCCGTACAAACGCATTGTGTTCCGGCTGAAGAACAGACTTCACTGGTACTTAGACGCATCTCTTGTGAACTGAAAACCGTGTGCACCATCAGCAGATATGTTTGAGCTTTGCTGATTTTTTTTTTTTTTGGAGCTTTGCTGATTTGATGGCTATCAGAAAAGCTTTAGGAAATTTACGGAGGAAAAAAAAAAAAGAAATACATATTCAAACTGCAGAGGTCAGCCACTGGATCTTGGAAATGTGGAAGGCTAACCAGCTGAGATCCCAGAGCCCCAGCGTACAGGCTTTAAGCAGCAATGAACTTGTGCTGGTCAGAATCTTCAACCGATTCTGGGCG